AAAACGTCCGTTCGCAGGATATGAACCTCGGACCGAATTATCAGTGTTCAGCGACTTTGCCGCTCGGCCACTAGTGTGGGCCCTCAAACACATTAATGATTATTCTAAGAGCATTCTGTTAGAAAACCAAAAAGGTCTAAGAGATATTTAAAATGCACTACGACAGGAATATTTCTTTCACTTTTAGCTGTTAAATAATTTTAGGTTTTCTTTACAGTTTTCACTTAAGATTACCAACAGGTGGCCAATACAAAAAGTTTTAAATACGAACTATAATTTTTGTGTTATCGTTTATAATGCTTTTTTTTTATTTCTGAAACTTGGATTTAAATAACCGAAAGAAAAAGTGTGTTTAGCTTTGATGACAATTATATGTTCTCTGCACTCTTTAAATACTTCAAGTATGCCAGTAATATTTGTTAAAAAGGTGACAGCAGCATGCATTTTTAATTTCATGTTAATCCTTAATGCATCTGATGTTAACACAACGTTTTTTGTGAATGTTAAAGTTTAATGGCATTATAAATTTCTGTGTGTCAAATAGGTCTTTGAAATATAGCCATTTTCTTTTCCTTCAGGATCATATTACTTTAAGTTAGAGCACTTACCTATCTAAAATGCAATCGTCAGTGAAAGAATTTTGCACTTCAGAAGTATTTCATCTGAAATAAACAAAATAATTCAGTATCTCTTGAACACATTGCACTCGTGCCTGAACATCGAAATTTTCACCAAGTCATATGTAGAGATTTCCGTAATGTAGTCTAATTTACATCTCTTGCTAGTGATGAGGAATCTTATATACCTGTTGAACTGAAATAAGTTGATAACTAAAAACTTTTGTTGTGGTAATAATCTTCCTAAAACCATCACCTCTGAAAGCGACCAGTATGTCTGTGAACATAAATGAATCATTCTGAGCATTGCCTCTCAAAACTGACTATTTTTACAGAAGGCCAAAATCTCCGGAATAGTTTGTGGTTGTATCAAACAGGGAACACTGCATTTGAGCTTCTTAGCTCTGTTAGTAAAGACAGGTATGATTTCTTTTTAGCAGTATAACACTTCACAATTTGTTGACTAATTTTGTGATATTTCCTTTTTTAAGATTTACTAACAATTAAAACTATGTTAAATCTTTTCTTCATGTCTCGTTTTGTGACTGTTGCCATTACTGTTATTTGCTTGTAGACAGGAAAGCTGCTGATCAGAATAAACGTTTACGCATAAAATTTGGCATTGTTTAATAAGTACTGAGCTTTACCTGAGTCTTGTTGTCAGACTCAGTTGATGTTGTAACTTTGAGTAGAATTACTCGAGTTGTAGTCAATAAACTTGTTGTAAAAGTTTCAGCTAGCTGCTGTAGTCAAGGAAACTTAAATTTTGTGTTGTACTAACTTAAATTAAGCTCACTAGCCGTGAAGAAATACATTTTAAGGAGTACATGAAGACATACGTTTTAAGAAATACGTGAAGAAATACATTAACTAGTAATAGTCTTTCAGAATTTTTTCAGAGCCAGGAGACGTAAGAAAATCCTCAAGTTTCTCTCCAGGATTCGAACTCCGGACTACTAGCTGGACGTCCTTCCAGTTACACCATGAAAGCAGGCGGTAAGGAGAAAGGAAATACTTTCAGACTTTTACATTTTGAGTAGCATCTTGCGTCGACAGTCAGATTAAGACAGTCGATAACTCTCCCATACGCAGAGGTAACGTCTAATGGTGAGCAGTTAGCAAGAGTGGTTAGTTAATTAAAGAACAACCTTGCAGAGTCATTAAGATTTTTCGAAGCAGAAGACTTGAAAAATGCGCAGAACTTCGCTGGGATTTGAACACCATACCTCCCGTTTCTAGCCGGATGTGCTATCCATTTACACCACGAAGTTATGCGGTACGGAAGAAGAAGTACTTTATATGCCCCCTATAAAATGGCGAGTGGGGATGAGGGGATCCAATCCCCCTCGTAATGATGAATCATCGCCCACCACCTTCTTAGTTCGGGGGGGGGCACTTGTTGAACATTTTTAGAATTTTGTAGAGGCCAGAAAACCGAAGAAATGTGAGATATCTTCGCCGAGATTCGAACACCAAACCTCCCGATTGCTAGCTGGACATGCTATCCATTTACACCACGAAGTTATGCGGTAAAATGACTAATACTCTTAAAACGTTATAAGTTTGTAAAGTTTCATTGCACTGAATTACTCAACAAATTCAGCGCTTATTGTCATTTTCAAATTTTTCCTTTAATGTATATGATGTACTTTTGAATATTACTGTTCGATGACCGTGTTTGGTATCATTAAACTCATAGCTATGTTTTAAACAAAAATGCATGCAGACAACAAAATCAAATTTAGAATAAGGACATTAGACGACAATTTAGAATAATGATGCTGTCAGAATAATAACGTTTCGAGGACAGGATAAAACAGGAATAATTTCGTCTATAAGAGTTACTGAAGAAGGACACCGAGAGATGGCGTAGGATAAATTGGCAAAATCATATTTCCTTAGCCGCAGGTCAAAGTATGGTACCTATATTTAGACATAATTTAATAGCCTTTCCTGTAGAGCACCTTCAACATATATTGTAGTATATGTGAAAAAAGTGTTTTTTTTTGGGGGGGGTTAAAACGCCTTGAGAAATACATAATCGTCTTATATATGAAGCCTTTATGCATCTTGTATTTATCAATGCATTATTTTCATTATCTTTTCCGAAAGCATTTTTTTGAAGAACAAATGGAAAAACCTCTCTAAGACATCCAGATTCCAGATGCTTCTGATCCTTTGTTTGGGGTAATTGCCTTAGAAAAATTACCCTCACGAAGTAACTTCCCTTCACGATCTTCATTCTACTGACCCTTCATGAAAACACTCGCAATCAGGTAAATCGAAATTTTGCTTCACCACTTTTTTTACTTGAATAAATTTTCATTTCTAATTAAGTTGCATGAAACGAGGAGGACTTTAGTGTTTAATATTTCTAATAGACTAGTAGAAATCGGAAAAAAAATAGACTAAAAGAAAAAAAAACTCTAAAAGAGCCCCATACCAGTATTTTTTTGCCTTAATGAGCATGTATACATCTCACATCTTTCAAAGATTTTAACACTTTTTTTTAGATCGCGATTGAGCAATTGGATTATGGTGCAGCAATATAATAAGAAACGAATATAGAAATTTTTTTATAAAAGTAACACGGTTTTTTTTAAATGGATACTTTTATAATTTTTATAATTCTGCCATGCAGTATCTTTTTTTACAGAGGCCTTTCGACCGTCGGACGACGATGGCCCTCCTGGAGAAGCCTGGCAGTTCTGGGTATGTAGTGATTATTATTGAATCTGACTCCATGTATCTAACGCTAAGAAATGTCTTTATTTTCATTGGTGAATAGCCGTTTCTCCAACACCGACATCCGTTTTATACTATCAGTTAATACAAATGAAAGCACTCAAAGCGGCACTGTACAGCGTAGAATATAAGGGGGGATAACAATTCGGATAATTTTCAGTAAAGGTGTATACAGAACATGCTCCCTTTAAGTTGATTCGGCGATGCCATTTGCATAAATATTCTGTAGCAGGTGGTAAGTTGAATTCTAATGATCACTATTCTAAATATTAATTTTAACTCATTCAAATTCATCCTGGACTGAAGAAACAAAGTTTTATTTTGCATGTTTCTGGCATAAAGAAACAAGGATTTTCTAAATTAAATTAATTCTTATCCACGTCATTCATAAGAAAAGAAGTCAACAGCCAATCCTTTCACCAGCGGGAGAAGTTACCTTTGATTGCTGATCTCATCCATCCGGCTACTAGTAAGCCAGAGGAGGACTGCTTTCGTAGAAGATTTTCTAAGAAAAATGCGAGTTAAAATTTTTATTTTACGTATGATACTTCCGAAAGCTCATGCAACCAACCGATTTAACTTTTAGTATTCTTAAGCTATTACAAATTTAAACACAAGCAAATAAACGTGATTGAATGCCTTATGTATTTAAAACAAATTTTCAGTAAGTTATCTTATTTTTCGTCATACTGAATCAAAATCGAGGCCGGCGTTTTTACCTTTCCTGCTGACTTTCGAGAACCAGTAAAGGATAGCAGACCAGATTTTGGAAACGCTATTCTTTTTTTTAATGTACTGTCAGTTTCTTTCCCAGATAACCGAGATGATTTATTGAGATCCATGGAATTAAGTTTTAATCTTCTTATATAATTAGATTATCGAAAGTTTCATTAAAATTTAATTTTCAGGAAACAGCATGAATATCGAGTTAGTTGATAAACTCCTTATAAAAACATTCGTGATACGTCATAGCTAAAAAATTAATTAGCTCTGTTCCTTTGATTGTTTATAAGACGTTAAAATGCCTTTACGTATGTACTATATTATCCATGTTTGGTTCTGATTTTAAATTTCAGAAACTTGTAAGAGATTATTGTTGCTCTAATGTTTGTATCTCTCATGTATACTTCACAACTAATTTTTAAGCAAAAAAAAAAAAAAAAACAGCATCTTCTCTCACTTCCGTGGATAGGGCTCTGAGAGTATGATAGGTTTGACTGAAGAATTTTAAACGAAGATAAAAGACAGGAGAAACAACTAGGCAATGAAATAAAAAATCGTTAAGAAGATATGGTATTTTCTTGCCCTTGTTCAGTTCCTTTTGGATTTGTACTCACCAAAACGGTACTAAAAAAAGTGAATTTTGTGTTCGCACCACACTGAAATGCTAGATATAAAGCCCGAAACAAATATAAAGATTTTTCTCAATGTATAATATTGTTGATGACTGAAAATTCATCTGAATTTTAAATGTAGATAAGCTATACAATATACCGCATATTTTTGGGAAGATTCATATTAAGAGTAATTGAATAACGTAATACAGATTTTAGTATTCGCTTAGATACACAGATTAATTTTCATGATCCCAAATTAATGAAACGATTGCGGCATAGGTAATGAATATAAAAAATAAAAAACATGGTAACAAAAATATTTAATTGACATAACATAATTACAACAACTATTTACAGAGTACAAAAAATTGCATTTTTTTTTATCTGGATGAATTGTAATCACAAAGGATGGTTGACGTGCACTACGAATCCATTTCCTTTGCTTATCTTGCACATTGCCCACATCAGGGACCATCTGAAATATGCAATAAAACATCAGGTTTAGTGTGTGTTTATTGAATTCAAATTTAACGTGGAAAATATATTTACTTTAAATCGTGAAAAATAACAGTCACCCGAAGTTTCCTCGAATGCTTTTCATATTTAGTACATCATTTAATAAAAGTAGTTAATAGAAAAATTGTCAACTTCATTAAATTATATCTTAATGAAATTTATAATTGTGTAGCCACATGCGTAATATAATACTTATATACCTATTTATAGATGGTAATATTTAAGCAGCAACTTGTGCAGTGTAATGATAGAAAATGAGATGCATCACTATTCATAAGTAAAATTTAAAACACAACTTATTTTTGTAGCTTCTTTCGAATTCCTTTGACATCTTTTAAGCTGATATAAGTACCGTTACCCTACCTTTCGATGCATACTTCCTATCGCTATCGATGCATATATCGTAAAATGTTTTATAATTTTTCCATATGTATACATATGAAGCTATGTAATAATAACTTTAAATTCTCATTTATAAGTAACATGACAGTCACCTGTTTTTCACGAACAGTGTACCATGGTTTTTGATTTTCCTTCCTGTGTAAAATAAATGCCAAGTGGTTTTCCTTAAAAATTCCAACATGAAGTCATTTCTTCTTTTCCAAGACAAGTAGTCCTTGTTTGATTTGCCATAACTGATTTATTCACTTATCTTGGTAAATATAAAGAAAGTAGAAGAATCTGTATAAATCTAGATGGTTTGACGAATTGTAAATGCGAGATCCCAAGTCAGATCCTAAGCAGAAGAATATTGTTTATGAAGGGGGAAATTAAAACAACAAATAAAATTTGGAATCTTCTAATCGCTTGAATACACCAATCCCATTAAGAAGGAAGGATTGTTTGAATAATTTTTATTTCATGAATATAAATGCATTAGAGGGCAAAAGAACATTATTAAGACCCTCACATGTTGAAATAAATTCCGAAGTTTAATTACAATGTTAAAGTTCTTTCATTTATCATTTGTGATGCAAAATATGAACTCAACTGCGATTTATGATCGTAAGTATACGTTCCCAGATGCTCATCTTATTAAAGTAATGAAAAATGGAATGCAGACTTTTTTTTACGAATAAACTAGTAAATCATATAGCTTTGAATCTCGGTTTTACTTTTAAACATATATGAATATTAAGTTTTTAGGATCTGATTAATATTTAAGAATTTCTCTCAAATGTAAACTTGAAAGCGTCCTGACATTGCTGGAAAAACATTTATGCGAATAGCCTGTCTCGACAATTTTTAAATATTATAACTGAGCATCTTTAAGACCCTAACCATTAGGGATTATTTGTGTAGGCATGCCTTAGGCAAAAAAAGTCTCATATCTTACATCTGTCATTTTTAAAGTGGCATATGTTATTGTTAATTTCTTGTTATACTATCTTATATTTGCTGCCCGTTATAAATTTTTATCCAAATTAAAAGTACTGCCAAAATTCCAATTTTTGGAAACCTAGCTGATAATTTTTCAGCAACAGAATCACTGCTCACTTGTATTCTTTTTGATATTTATGTAATTATTTTTTAATTCTAACATATTAAGCTTCAAGAATAAAAACTTGTTCGCACCCAAACCTTTCATATTCGATTAGTTCATTATTTCATAGTTGTTCACACTCAAACCTTTCATATTCGATTAATTTTATCTAACTTACAGTATTCTTCTACTGACGCAAGTCGAGTGTACTTTTTGTTATGTAAGTACTATATTATTTTATTTGGTAACTCAGTAACGCTGATTAGCAGAGATTTGATCAAAGATTACAAAGGCTTACTTTCCTTTTTTTTTTTTTTTTTTTTTTTTCTTTTTTTTTTTTTTTCGTACTGATAGAACACTCATATTTTTGCTAACATCACTGTTTTATTGCGGTTTCGAAGCTCTTTCCATACATTGCCAAATTTTACACTCTTCTTCCATTTTCCAGTTAAATGTAACCACAAACCTTGCTGCAATTCTTAATGACGAATACCAATTCTCATTAAACCCATTATCTACAAGTGTGAACTGGGAGGAAGACCTATGGAATTTTGAAAAACATTTTATAAGGTATAAAATACGAAAAATATAAATTAATATTAGCGGAGGTTTAAAAAGCATGTCTGCTATACACATAACTGAAATAGAGCTGCCGTTTCTTTTGTGAATAAAAGCCTGAGACCAAAAGAAACTTAAACGTTTAAAAAAATTGGCTAAGATGTGAAATACTAATATCAATAAAGTTTAGTATATCAACACAACTCCTAAACAAATATATATCCTTCGACTAAAAATTAATTTACGACTTATTAAAAAATCTGTCAAGGCAATGAATAAAAATATATGAGGTTTCCAAACCCCAGAACTTAAATACCCTACCTATATATAGAGATTATTAGGCATTTTATTTCAGAGAAGAAGAACTGAAAAGATATGCAACATCCTTACCAGGATTCAAATTCCGGACCTTCCGATTACTAGCTCGGCATCCTTTGTAGTTATACTACAAAGGCACGCGGTAGGGAAGGATTGAAACTTTACAAAATAATGATGAAACCGAAGAAGATATTTTTGTAAGACCATACTAAAAAAATATTTATGAATCAGAATGTCGATCATCAGTTAAACCGAGTTGAAACGCTACATGGAATACTCTTTACAAAAGTTTCCTAGGAACTTGTAAGGCAAAAAGAATGCTTAAAAAATATTGAATGGGTTAAGGAACCCTAAAATGATTCAAAAAGGTCTTTGAAGCGCTTCTTATGGCATTCCTACATAAATTTCTTCCTTAGAACAGTGAAAAATGAGATTAGCGAATATTTTTGGTGTAATTGGATGGGAGTTAAGGAATTGTAAACGCTGAATTATGGCATCAAGGGCATTCAGTTTCCATAAGCTTTCTGACTTTAATTAGGTCTTTAATATAAATATTTCAAATAAGGTGAAGCCAGAAAAAGTTGGATTGTTTAACTTTAAAATATTTTCTTCCATGATGCACATACAGATTTATGTATAGATTAGGATAAATTAGTTCATAAAAGAAAAGCACTTAATTGCTATTTAACAAAAGGAGTTATAGTTTCCTTGGAGCACTTTCAAAACCTGGACGTTATTTACGTTACGCATAGGAAAACTGCTAAACTTCCTTTTTGAATTTGTTTATAATCATGAAAACTTCAACTATTATGTTACGCACACACACACACACACACACACAAAAAAAAAAAAAAAAACTTACATGTTAGAAAAATTCAGGTTTCGCATTAGATATCAACAACAGAAATACAGTCAACTTTATGTTTTGACTCTCTGACATAAAAGCCAAAAAGTTTGATAATCAGTATAATCATACTTTTCAAACAAACAGTACATACCTAAGTCCGTTAGCTCTGAATTTATTTATTTCCCTTGAAAGTTGATAAAAGCATCAGAATCTCCACCTTCGAACTGTCCAGCACCGAACTGACCCAAGTTGAAATCAGCGCCACTAAATTCACTTCCTCCAATGGAGCTTCCACCATCAACAAAACCATCGAAACTTCCACTGTCAAAACCGCTTAAATCTTGCCCGCCGAAATTCGCACCCGCATAGGAAGATGCATCAAAACCGTCAAATCCATCAAAATCTTGAGCAAGAGCTGATGCCAAAACGATCAACAAAATACTAGAAGAAATCTGGAAAAAAAGTGAGAGCTATTATGTTACATTTTAAGCAGTTAATTTCAGAAATATGATTTGATGCAGAAGAGTAAACAGTAAAAACAAAATATAATGATGCAAGAATAAATGACAGGACTATTTATTAGGGAGAAGTCCATAACACTGTACACAGATTTATCCTTATTTTACTTTGTAAGGTTTTTATTATCTTTCTAATTGATTAGACATTAACTCGTTCTTTTCTGCTGATTTTTTCCTCTTCATATTATTTACTAAAGTTAGAGCTATACAGATTATTAGCTAAACAACAGTAAAGAAGACTCAATTTTTATGAAAATGCAAATCTAGTAAATGTTGATCTAGTGCTTAGATTTAGCGTTGTGGTCGTCAACACATTCTAGATTGTATTCGTAACTGTAGTTCATTTAAATGGATAAAAAGTACTTTAGTGAGTAAAGGAATTTTTGAACTTCCTTTACCTCAGATAGGCAAGTTTTAATGACAGCCACACAGAGGATTTTTCCTTTCACACAGATTTAAACATTGTTTTATTAACTACTGTGTTACTTTCAGTTAATCTTCGTGAAATCAACCAGTTGGTGCAAGAGATTTAAATAGTCTCTAAAAAAGCAGTTTTTTAGTTTTTTTAGTGCAATAACTGAAATATCGAAGTATGTTAATAATTTTTAGCATATCAAGCTCTGTGCGTTTGCTTATACGAAATAAGTTTGGCCAATCAATGTCCAAAACTAGCATATCTCTTTAAGGAGCCGGCTAAGCAGCTAAGCTTGTGAGTGGTAGAATAACTCAGCCTATAAGGTATTCCTACCACCTTCTTAGCATACCTTGGTGGTGTAGCGGTCAGCACACTCGACGCATATCCTAGAGATCCGTGGTTCGAGTCCCGGCGAGGGCACTGCTCATTTTTCATGTATCCTGTTTCAAAATGACCTAATGTCTCTACAAGCTATATGCGTATATAATTTTTTTAAGTTTCTGGCCAGTCCCATTTTTTATCATACGGCCGGATTGTGCCGGTAGGAGGATCGGGGCTGCGCCCTTATAATGATAATGACAAATGTTTAAGTGCACATGGTGTCCAAAATGTCGCCTAAAAATTTAAAAATCTCAAAAGGGGTCATATTATTCCTACTTTTCGTATATTTCCTTTCAGAGCTTATATTAACATAGAAAAATTACCCATGGTAAAATTCATGGCTAAACAAAATATAAAAATCTGCATTAAATTTAATCAAGCCATTATGAATAGCCAAAACGAATAAAGCGGATATAGAGAACAAGAACTGAATATCATGATTCATTGGACTATTCGGTGCACTGAACATTATGGCTCAGTAAATGGTCTCACTTCTAAAAATGCGTTATAGTCCATTCATAGATGAGTCATAACATGAGACAGACGCTGTTGAGTAAGAATTTAGAACATTGTTCAGTTTCGGTGTCATTTTAGGATATCCTTGCATCGCATGTAGATACAATTCAATAGTTTGAGATAATATCTGGGCAGAAATTAGAGGGCTGCAACCAATGTGTCTTTAAAAAGGAGGAATAAAAACGGAGGACCCCAGAATGACTTGTAGGTACCCTGTGTTAGCCTAGCTGCTTAATGTATAATATAAAGGTAAATTAATGATTTGATTTTAATTTAAGCAAGCAAGAGAGTGAATTTGATTATTCTATTACGTCAAAGCATACTAGAAATATTTTCCTAACAGGATAGATATCTTCATGGAGGAATTTATAAGAGAAACTAACTCGTATTCAAGAAATATATGGGGAAATCTTTCCGATACAGATGCAACAGATTCCTACACATAAAATAAAAATTTTAGGTTTTCCTTAATAAATTAAACATAACAAGAAACGCTATTTGAAGGAATTGAGAAACTAATACTTAATGTTAAGATGTAATAAGAAGATCTTACAATACTTACTTTATTCTTGTATATAATAGAATCTTACTAATTACAAAAATCTCTTAGGAATACATGTAAAATATTACTTACCTTTAATTATTATGGTAGCCTTTTAAAGAATATTATTTTTCCTGAAGCAATTCTGAAGGAATGTCTTTTAATAAGCATAAATATTTTCTAAAAATTTTACATTTTTTCTTTCAAATTCTGAAAAATGTTAATACATTATAAGTTCCTAGTAACCTTTTAAGAGCAAATCTCTTTAAATTTAATCATGCTCAAAATTTAATTCAATGAACTTTAATAAAGGCAAAAAAAGAGGAAAGATTGTATAGCTAAAACCTGGTAGAGAAATCTTTTCCAACCAGCCCCCAAAGATTCTCCCACTTAAAAAATTAAATGGATATCAAAACCTTTTCTGAAAACCCAAAAGACAAAACCTGCATGTATATATATGTTAATATGTATTGACTAATATAATATTGAGTATATTATCTCCTTGTATAAAGTTAGGTCTATGTTATATAATTTTGCAGTAATGCTAGATTAACTTTATCCGATTAAAAAAATGATTACAGACTCTTAATTACTTGTTGTGTAAAGTAATCACTTGCACCGTGAGAAAATAAGATGCGATATTCCCTCAAGTATTTCGAATAAAATTCTCCACGGAAAACTTAAACAGTGTGAACTTTAAAAAAAATAGTAAATTTGCTATATTTCCAGACAGAGCACTAAATTTTGAGTCCTCAAGCTGGACTCAGGTCTGATTTAAGATTTGCTGTGGACACATATTGGGATTGTTTGAAATTTTCGTTAAATTTAAAGAAAAAAATTAAATCATGTTTGTTCTAATGAAAGTAATACATACCATGAATTTCATGTTGCTGGTCAACACTGAGTAAACAAATCCAAGGAAATAATCTAAAACGTTGTCACTGTTCGAGATCACAAACTGTTATGTGGTTGAATGGAACCGAAGCCCTATTTATATAGATCAAGGGACGGCCATTTCTTTGTCGATAGCAATTCCGCGAAGATGCAAGAGCCGGCAGACGATCGTAAAGCATGCTTGTAACACGAGTTATGTAGATCATCGGTAATTTAGAGCCTCTGGGTTTAAAGGCAGCGTAATTTCTGTCAGGTCAACTTTCTTTGTTCATTTCCTCAATAAGATTAGTCTAAAGTTAGAAACCAACTATAAAAGAAGAAAAATTATTAAGAAGGCGAAAGGGAAAATACCCCGTAGCGACGACGTTGGCTAACTATACCTCTTAGGGAACGTGTCCTAAATTCTCTTGTTTTTGTCGGAAATGTCTCTCAAACGCAAAGAATGGGGTAAGAGCCATATTACTTTTTAGGAAAAATTTCACTATCTGTAGAGAGCATCGCAATTAATAATTTACTCTGTCAATGTTTGGGTAAGCCATCGTATTAGTCACAATAAAATTTGCATTAGATTTATAAATCTTTCTCACTCTAATGATGGTTTATTTCATACTCCTGAGGCAATAAATATTAGAGCACAGTGACATGTTTATTTTTCCGCTCTTATTTTACATTAAACAATTTAAATCCTCACCGTGACGTATCATTGATTCTCTGCAACTTGTTTTTAAAGGAAAAATACTCATTTCCATGAATGTGCTCTCACTGTCGTAAAGGCACTGATTAACTATAAAAGTCTCAAGATATTTCTTATAATCATTTAACTGCATTTAGAGTCAAGGACTGATTAACATTTTTTGGAATATTCCTTATTCTTACATTTAGTAACATAACTAAAATCCCTTCCTGCAATTTTTGTTGCTGTTCTATGATTATGCTGATAGCCTCCGAGTAATATAATGTTAAACAGTTAAAATAAACTTCAATCAAGTGCTACAACACTTTCATATTGCATCATTTTCTTGAGACTGCAGATGCTGGCAACTTAAATAGTTGTTCTGCTACTATGTACTGATTGAATTAATTCATTATGGGAAAGTATTCGACTCTGTGTGCGATAAGAAGATAGCTTTGTGAAGTGTTGCCTAAGGAAAGCTAACTCGTATTCATATGAAGCATAGAGAAATCTACAAAAGCCTCATGCATCAGTTCATTCAAAAGATGAAATGAACCCAATATTAGCATTCATAGGTCTTACACACTATGTCTTACACACTTAGGATGTTCTGTTACCAGAGGAGCGTAGAAAGTTTTGAAAGCAATACTGTATTTATTGTGAAGGAAGAAAGTACATTTCAAATTGATAATTTGTCATAAGATTGAATTTAATATGATTAACTTCAATAGCTACTCGTATATTACCAATATGTTTTCTGAAACCATTATAAAGAAGGGCTCAGAGTTATGGAAGCTAAAAAGCAATGACCTATACTTCGTTTTAAGAACTGAGGAAGAAAATCATCAAACCTCGAAGAAGGAAAAAATTTTGAATATGTAGTTAAAAAAAATTATAATTTGCAAAATATATTTACATTTTGTGAACTTTTGAATAATATGTATTTCATGCTCCCCGCGTGCTCCAAATAATTACGAATTAATTCAGCTTGGTTCGGAAAACAAAATGCATAAGGTGAAAAGCACATTCGGATAGATTACACTCCAAATAAGAGCAAAAGTGATAAAATCCAATATCATCACTTAGAAAGTATGAGAAACTGCTTGCGGATTTCATTAATCCGGAGGCAGGCACTTTCACAGAAAAATGCATGGATCTGAATCATAGTCGAAATATGGGAATAACAAAGATATACAGGTAACACATGCACACATATGTATATAATAAAGTAAGAAATAGATTATAAAAGTTTCATAACTTTAATATTTAAATATAACCTCCGAGACGGGAAGGTGGTTAGTGACTCCCACTGCCGTACCAAAAGGCTCGGGGTCGAATCCCGGAGAGGGCATAGATGGAAATTGTATGTCTCTTCACACGAGACAATGATGGGCCATCTGTTAAGTCCCACGAGAATAAATTGACTATCGCTTCTGACTTTTTTAGTGACCAACGCCTATAATAGATACTGCCCGCCATTGGGAAAAAATGTATTTAATATATATTATAAAAATATAAGGTAGATTTTTAAAAGACATAAGGAAAGTGAAATAAGATTCGCTATGTTAAAGTAAAAATGTTTCTCCGTTTTTTAGCAAGTGTTTGGAGAAAAAAAAATTAACGCCTTTTTTTATACATATATAAAGGAATCCAAGAAACGAAGAAAGAATCTAAACATTATAGTGGTCATTTATTGAGTTAAAAAGCAGCAACAATAAATTTGTAGTAATAAAGTAAAATATGAATTTATAAAAAGTTTTCATAAACCTCTACCATGTATAGTATGTTGAATGTAGTGCTAGCTATACATGAGGTTTATGAAAGCTTTTTATGAATTCACCATTTTGTATAATCATTTTATAAAATTTTCATGAAAATTTACTTTATTATTCCGAGTTTATTGTTGCTTCTTTTGCGCATAATAATAAAGCGGTAAAGTCGCTGAACACTGAAAGTTCGATCAGAGGTTGGAATCCCACGAACGGTCTGGCTGCATGGGCGTTTTCGTGGTTTTTTTCCATAGTATAACGTGGACACGAGCCAATTTCTCTTAAAAGGTCTTCTACTAAGGCATCCCTTCCTTTAGGTAGATAGCCCTCGAGCGCTTTGCCATAATCAAACAAGCCAAACCATTACAAATGTTAATTCCTTTCTTTATTTGTTCAGGTAAATAAGGGAGTCAATTTATTTCTGTATTTATAACGCGGAAAAAAAAAAAAAAAAAAAAAAAAGAATCCTTTTAACTTCAGCGTAGCGGATCCTTCCCTTTCTTCCTGCTTTTTACGCACGTCACGTTTGTATTTTTTTGTACATCCACTTAAAAAGCAATGAATTCAGTTTTATTTAACATTAAAATCAATTGCTTAACTGTAATGCTCTCTGTTCAGAGCAACAGGTGGTAAACTGAAAACACAAATTACTTTTATTAGTTTTTTATTTTTTGGCTTAACAGCATGTCAGGTTTGAATTTTTTTCTCTCCACTATTTAGGTTTAATGAAGAGTAGGAATATCACTAATTAAATTTTTAAAACAATATTCTTTAACTATTATTTTAAGACTAATGACCACTTACATCACCTGAGAGATTTTTTTAAACACCTTACCAGTTAGTTTATTTTGTATTACATACAATCCTATGTCACTGAACTTTCAATTCTAAAATTTGATATCAGCAAGTTTCAGTTTTTCATACTGCGTAATCTTCCTTTTTCTTGCATATGTTTTTAAAGTCTAATTATACTTTTTTCACAATTTTACTTTTCTTCATTTGCAGGATGGCGCCAGAAAAGTTAAACTTATTGCGATTATTTTTACTAATTTTTCAGATCATTTAGCAATTTTTCCCTTTTAAGATTAAATGGTATTACTTTTGATCTAATTTATATGGTTGGGTACTGTTTTCTTAAGATTCACTCCTAATTAGGCATATGTACGGCTTATTGCCGTGCATTTTCTTTCAGCAGCTAGTTTTTGCATTCAAATGTGCGAAATTTATCTTATTTTTTCATCAGTAATTCTGAGGAAGAATTTTTTTTTTAAATTTTAATACATTTTCAGATTATTTACATCATTCGGTACTATATTATTTGTTATGGTAAAACAGAACTGTTTCAGTGGTATGCTTTTACTGAAACAGAACTGTTTTAGTGCTTTGCTTATACTGAAACAGAATTGTTTCAGTGCTTTGCTTTCACTGAAACAGAATAGTTTGAGTGCTTTTTATTTATCATGTATGTCTCTTTTAGTGTCAGTTTGCAAATATGTAGCTCTTTACGTGTATTCGTAACTTAACATTCATTTCAAATTTTTTGTGTACAATTTTCATCCATATTTGTATATCTTGCTTTACTTTTTACGTTTTTGACAAGTCACGTTCGAGTGCAATGCACAGTTTCCAAACTTAAACTGACATTTTTAACTAATGAGGTTCTTTTTTTATAAATTTACCAGATTTGCATTAGGTTCAAGCTATACACTTAAACACAAAACTTATAATGACTGACCGTATGTTGCCCTTCTCCCGATGAGATGATTCATGATATATTTCTTTTATTATCAACAGATTTTTTTAAGTTGCCAACAGGTAAGAGAGAGGGGAAGAAGACATGGGATGTCTCAGATAGGTACAGGTACTGAGTTCCGGTTGGTAGAGAGAAACGGGTTGTCTTGAACGGATGGAGCAGACACTGTAGTCTGGTGACAAAGTAGGTTTACTGATAAGAAAAATTTCATTCCTATGTCGTTTGGTAAAGCCGCGTTAACTCGACTGATATCTGCCTCTTCATTTATTCTTTAAACTCAACCTAATGTTAAAACATATAGAAAACGATAAGCGCTGTCATAAGAGACAAAACTGAAATTTGAAAGGAATATGTTAAGAATGTAACATTGACGTAAAAAATATAGAAAAGGGTATTTCTATATTACTTCTGAAAGCAAATGTATCTGAAGAAAGAAAAATAAAAGAAAGAGCCAAAGCTTGTGGGAAATTCGATTCGAAGAAATTACGTGCCCATGGAGCAAAGCTTTCTGAGACTGGCGTTTCCGCTCAAAGCTGTGCGTCAAATGTTTCAGTAAATTGGTCTATGGCAAGAAAATAACACTCCAATTGAATGTGAATGACACTTGTTTTTATTTTTTGACAGGATGGGTGCAGAATCTCAAGAAACTTCGCCATAGAATCTCAAGCCATGTCATAAAAGGAGAATTCAATAATGTCCCTATCCAAAATAATGTAACTATTAGTTAAAAAAACGTTTTAAACGTTGGGAAAGCTGATCTGCACTTTCATCTCAAGACTTAAGGACCCTAGCATTCAAATTGACCTGTGTAACGAAGTTACCAAATATAGTTTTTAAAACAATCATTTTACTAGAACCAACAAAATTAAAGATCACCTCATTATATGATCACAAAAATCTAGATACTTCAAAATTGTTAAAACCTTGTCATTACGGCATGAAG